CCCCTCACACGTTTCGTGGCCCCATAGGGAGCTCCACCGAAGGCCCCAGTGGCAGGGTTCGCATGCCTCCCCACCATCCATTTCGGCACACTCCTCACACGTGGCCCCATAGGGAGCTCCACCGGAGGCCCCAGTGGCGCGGTGCCTATTAGAAGAGGGGCCTAGTTTGCGTGCCCCCTCCTTCGTCTCAGATCCGCGCGGTACTCGCAGCTGCATATGGTTGGGTACTTCGCCAGGCTAATTATTTTTTTCTATGGTCGTGTCTCGTTTTTGCTTTTGTCGCGAACTGTTGTTCTAGATTCTGTTTAGTTGTTCGTTTCCCCCCCCCGTCTGGTTTCGTATCCCTATGGTCATTTTTTGGTCGCGTTTAGTTTTCCCTGGTCGCGTTTAGTTCACCTACGGTTCTGTTTCGCCTGGTGCGTGTCCTGGACGGAAGGCTCACCTCCGACATGCGCAGATCATGTTCTTCTGAGGTTCCCCCACTCGTGGGGCAACTCAGGCTCGCGGCGAAACTTGTTTCGCTAATCTCTCATCACGGCCACGAAGGGGTCCCTCGCCAGCCCTCAGTTCGACGTATACATCTGGGCTCAAGCGGCGCAAGTGCGCTGAGCGTGGCATCGTTTGCCGCTGGCCTATCGCGGCTCTTCTGCTCCAGCTCCCCCTCCACGCTCAGGCGTAGTCCGCATCATGGGGCGCGCGCGCGCGCCTGCTGGCGGCTGCGGCAGCCAGAATATGGAGCAGCTGGCTTTGTTGCTCGTCGAGAAGGACCTGGAGATCCGCAAGCTCAAGGGTGAGGGCACGGAGTACAAACGCAAGTGCGATGCGTTGACTTCGATTCTGGAGGCGCTGGCGGACGGCGTCGGGCGCGTGGCAATGCCTGCTGCCGTCGCTGCCTCTGGCGCGTGCGCGCGGGAGAGGAAAGCCAAAAAGGACGACTTCCAGGGCGAGAACTTCCCGCTGAAGGTCCACAGCCATGGGGAACCAGTGGTGGCGGACAGCTTCGGGAAGATCCACGAGAAGGTCGAGGATTCCTACGCTAGGAGCCTACGCTTGAAACGCGAAGCCTACGCTCGCGACAAGGCACCCAGGGCGGCTGTCAGTGGACCAAGACCAGGACCTGTTGTAGCTGTTGCGCCACTTGCTGGTGATCCGGGTGGCACCGACGCGCGCGGCACTGACGACAGCTCTGGCGCAAATTTTGCGAGGGCACAGGGCAACGCGGGCGCGGCATCTCCAAGTTCAAGCGGGGGCGACTGGTCTGCGGCCACGATGGCAGCGGCAGCGGTTGCGGAGGAGGAGGACCTTGACGGCGACGAGGAGACGGCTTCAGGCGAGCCGCGCAGCAAGAAGATCAAGGACCGCATCGGGGTTGCCTCAAGCAAGTGATCCAGAGCCCGCTTGGAGCTGGCAGTCGTTGCCTCTGGCTCGCCGTTGCCTCTGGCGCGCCGAAGCGTTGTGAAACTGAGGTTTTTTTGCCTCATCCCTTACCACGTCGATTAGGTTTTGAGAGTGAGACGATGAAGCTCCGTTGCCACTCTCTGCGCAGAGCCTGCTCAGTGCATGCTGGACGCGCGAATCTGCCGCCGCAGATTGGCCACGGCAAACGCAGAGCTCTCGAAGGGTTTTGCGCGTGTAGTTTTTTTTCCTATGGTCTTGTTTAGTTGTCCTATAGTCGTGTTTAGTTGTTTTTTTTATGATCGCGATTGGTTCTCCCATGGTCGTGTTTATTTTTCCTATGGTCGTGTTCCGATTGTCCCTGGTCGCGTCTAGTTTTTCCCTGGTCGGGTCTAGTTTTCCCCTGGTCGGATTTAGTTTTTCCTTTGGTCGGGTTTAGTTTTTCCTTGGTCGGGTCTAGTTGTTCCCTGATCGGGCTTAGTTTTTCCTTGGTCGGGTATGTTTTTCTCCTTTGGTCGGGTTTAGTATTTCTTTGGTCGGGTTTAGTTTTTCCTTGGTCGGGTCTAGTTTTCCCCTTGTCGGGTCTAGTTTTTCTTTTGGTCGGGTTTAGTTTTTCCTTTGGCCGGGTCTAGTTTTTCTTTGGTCGGGTGTAGTTTTCCCTTGGTCGGGTGTAGTTTTTCCTTTGGTCGGGTTCAGTTTTTCTTTTGGTCGGGTCTAGTTTTGCCCTGGTCGGGTTTAGTTTTCCTTTGGTCGGGTCTAGTTTTTCCTTTGGTCGGGTCTAGTGCTCCTCTGGTCGGGTCTTTCGTTTTTTCCTTGGTTGGGTCTAGCTTTTCCCTGGCCGGGTCTATTTTTCCTTTGGTCAGGTCTAGTTTTTCCATGGTCGGGTCTAGTTTTTCCTCTGGTCGGGTCTAGTTTTTCCTTGGTCGGGTGTAGTTTTTCTTTGGTCGGGTTTAGGTTTCCCTTGGCCGGGTTTAGTTTTCCTGTGGTCGCGTTTAGTTTTTCTTTGGTCGGGTCTAGTTTTTCTTTGGTCGGGTTTAGTTTTCCTTTGGTCGGGTTTAGTTTTTCCTTTGGTCGGGTTTAGTTTTTCTCTGGTTGGGTTTAGTTTCCCCTTGATTGGGTCTAGTTTTCCCGTGGTCGGGCCTACTTTTTCTTTTGGTCGGGTGTAGTTTTCCCTTGGTCGGGTTCAGTTTTTCTTTGGTCGGGTCTAGTTTTCCCTTGGCCGGGTCTAGTTTTTCCTTTGGTCAGGTTTAGTTTTTCCTTTGGCCGGGTCTAGTTGTTCCTTGGTCGGGTCTAGTTTTCCCTTGGTCGGGTATAGTTTTTTCTTGGTCGGGTATAGTTTTTTCATGGTCGGGGTTTAGTTTTTCCTTGGTCGGGTTTAGTTTTTCCAATTGTCGGGTCTAGGTTTTCTCTGGTCGGGTCTCGTTTTTCCGTGGTCGGGTCTAGTTTTCTCTTGGTCGTGTTTAGTTTTCCCTTGGTCGTGTGTCGTTTTCCTGTGATCGTGCTTAGTTTTCCCCTAGTCGTTTTATTTTCCTCTGGTCGTGTTTAGTTTTCTCCGCGGTCGTGTTTAAGTCTCCCTGGTCGCGCTTCGTTTTGCCCTGGTCGTTTTTTTTTGGGGGGGTGTTTAGTTTTCTTTCGGTCGCGTTGAGTTTTCCCTCGGTCGCGAGGGGGGGGGGGGGGGGCGCGCCGCCGCCCCAGGTCGCGACCTGGGCCTACGCGCGAGGCCTCTGCCTCAGGCGAGATCGACCTGGCCACCCTGCGCCGCGCGATGGCTGAGTCGACCGACCCAGTCCCAGACGCCCAAGAGCACATCAACGGCATCCCAACCAGTCGTCGTCGTCGCCGTCGTCGTCGTCGTCGTCGTCGTCGTCGTCGTCGTCGTCGTCACCCCTTTCGGCGTCGTCGTCCTCCCCCTCCTCTTCCCCCCCTCCCCCCCCTCCTCGCGACCAGGGAAACTAAACGCGACCAGGAGAAAACTAAACGTGACCAGGGAAAAACTAAACGCGACCAGGGTCGCGCTTAGTTTTCCCATTGTCGTCGTCGTCATAAGCATCGACGGCATTGGCATCGGGATGATCTACCTTGCAGAGAAGTCACAAGAAACAAGATCACTCCGAAAATATATTAGGACCTCGCCACAGCTTTCCGTCATATTTCGGCTCGAGCCCGCTGCTACTCAGCGCTCCTCGTTTCGCCACTAGCGCACTCATTCCGCCCTGTTCCGCCGTCCGCGAAGCCGCTGCCTCTGGCGCGCCGCGCGTTGCGCGGTCTCCACGGCGGCGCAATGGCCGAACTTCGAGACCGCGCGCGTCGAAGCGGTCGAAGCGTACCTGCTGGAGCAACGCGTCAGCGACAAGAAGATGATTTGGCACGCCGTGCTGAATAACCACGCCTCGACGCGCCCTCAAGTGCACGGAGGCGCTTTGGCCCCAGCCGTCAGCAATTGCAAGGAATGCGTTGCCTCTGGCGCGGGCTGGCGGCGCACCCTGACTTTGCCGAGCAGCTTTGCGCCAGGAGATGGCCGTCGGCTCGTTGCGATAGGGGAAAGCGCGACGAAAGAGGAAGCGTCGGAACTCGCTTGCCTCCGAGCCGTCGCTTCGCTCGTCAGCGAAAACCCAGGCCAGTTTGCGCTCCGACCGAAGCGCTGGGAGGTGCCGCCCGACGAGCTCGTGGCCAATATGTCCGGCGCCGCCGCCGACTCGGCCTCTGGCGGGCGCGCGCTGCCAGCGCGCGCCCCCGCGCGCCTCCGGGGCGCGGGCTCGGAGGTTAACGCGCCTGACGCCGACGCGCGCTTGGTTGAACTAGTCCGCGACGCTCTCAAAACGCGCGGCGGTGAGTTCGATCCGTCGCGGATTTCCCGCGACAAGTTGCGGTGGCGCGACGAGCGCGCGTTCGAGACGTTAAACAAGCTTTTGGCGCCTGGGGGGCCGAAGGACTTCCTCGACAGACACTCCGACGAATTCGCCTGGTGCGAGAAGGCCGACAACGAAGGCATGCTCATCACATGGGTGAACTGGGTGCGGCAGGAGGAGCGCGTCCCGCCATGGGCGCGCCCCGCCATGGGCGAAGTGGGCGCACTGCCTCCGGCGTGCCCCGCCATGGCGAGCGCGCCCCAACACGAAGTGGCCTCGAGAAGTGGCCTGGAGCGGCCGAAGGGTGCCCCGACAACTGACCGCACTCAGGAGGCGGCCTCAGGAAGCGGCCAGAATGCACTGCCTCTGGCGCGCCCCGACAATTCACCGCCCTCAGGAAGCGGGCAGAATAAGAGCAACCCTTGGGAAGACCTTCGCTAGGAGATGGTTGCCCGAGACACTGCCTCTGGCGTGGCCGAGTCGCTGCCTCTGGCGTGCCTGTGACGCTGCCTCTGGCGCGCCTTCTGAGGCCGCGGCGGCGTCGCGGCAGCTGGCGCCGCGACACTTGCGAGCGGAAAAGCTAGTCGTCGTCATCGCCACCATCGTAGTCGCCATTATGACCACCGACATCGTCAGCACAATCAGCGACATCATGACCGCCGACATCATGACCATCGTCATCATGACCACCGTCATCATGACCGCCGACATCATGACCATCGTCATCATGATTACCGACATCAATGGCATCATCAGCGCCACCGTCATCATCGTCACCATTACCATCAAAACGCCAAGTTCGCATCATATTAGCGCTGCGGATCCTTAATATGATGTTTGACCCCTTGGTGGCCCAGCCAGGCATGCCTGGAGGCAGCTGGCTTGCAAGACGGAAAGGCCATATGCCTGGGCAAAGGTGGAGATGCCGCGCTCGGCGCCCGCTTGCCCGCCGCCAGCAGTGAGCGGAGATGCCGCGCCCGGTGCCCGCGGGCCGAGAGATGGAGATGCCGCGCCTGGCACCCGTCAGCCGAATGAAAAAATTGTTCTCCCAGCGATCGCTAGCCCTCCTAATGCAGCTGTGAGTGACTTGATGGTCACCGCTCTGGTCGCCATAGACGGCGACCAGGAGGAGTGCGATTCAAGTTCGCTCCCGAGGGTTTGCAACAGGGGCCGAGGGGGCCCTGCTAGACAGATAGAGGCCCCGCAGAGGCCTAGATTCTCGCTCTTTCCCTGCCCTTGCTCTTGCTGCTCTCACATTTCCTTCCGCTGCTTTCTCGGTTCCAATTTTAAAGTGCAGGGCTTTTCGCCTGTCTGAGAGCTGCGCCTCGCCTCGCCGCGTGAGAGAGAGAGAGAGAGAGAGAGTAAGAGAGTAAGAGATATCTTGGCGCCGCGCGCCCATCCATATCACAGTAGGGAGCTCCACCGGAGGCCCCAGAGGCAGTCCTCGCATGCGGTTCCCGCCCATTTCGGCACACCTTCGCGCGCTTCGTGGCCCCAGCGCGGCCGTCCTCTCATGCGGTTTCCCGCCCATTTCGTGACACCCCCGACACGTGTCGTGGCCCCATAGCGGGCTCCACCTGAGGCCCCACTGGCCGTCCTCGCACTGAACTCCCCGCCCATGTCGGCATACCCCTGACACGCTTCGTGGTCCCATGAAGGCCGTTTTGGTTGCACTCGCCTGCGGTTCCCCGCCCATTCGGCACGCCACCTAATGCCCCAGTGGATGGATTCACACGCTGCATCCCTTTCTCGGCACACCCCTCACATCTTTCGTGGCCACACAAGAAGTTCCACCGAGGACGATCCTCAGAACTACGGTGCCCACAACGTTGGGCCCATCGCCAAAGTAATTGAGGTTGTCTTGCGATTCCTGCTAGAGGAATGGTGGGGCGCAGCGGAGACTTCGAGTGGAGGCCTCCAGACGCTTCCAGCGCAAAGCTGGAAACCAGAAATACATCGCCCAGGCCTACATCCAGCCTGGCGCTCCTTGTTCTCGTCTTTCGTGTCTCTCTCTCTTCCTCGCCCCTCCTTCTCCTCCTCCTCTCCTCCTCCTCCTCCTCCCCCTTTTCCGCGTCCCATTGTCATGAATTGTTATACTCAGCATAGGTATGTATGCTCGTCCTCTTCCATCAACAGCCATAGCGGCACAGGGAATCAGGGGCAGACTGGAGTCGTGCCAGCGAGCGGTGTGCACTCGGGAGGCTGGGCAGCCATGGGTCGCGTCATCCGCGGGTCGCGCAAGGGCAAGAGTTTGATCTTCACGGCCAAGACGCGCCTTCGGAAGGGCGCCGTGAAGCTCCGCTCCGCGGACTATGCCGAGCGTGCTGGGTACATCAAGGTGGACGAGCTTCTCTCGACCTTCTCAGCATTGGCTCCCTCAGCAGAACCGCCTCGAGAAGGGCTGTGGCCATCTTGTTCGCCTCGTCGCCGACGACCTCGTTGTCCTCGCTCTGTTCGCATTTTTCCCCGCAGCATCTCCTGAAGGTTATGCTGGAAACGGTTCTGCTGAGGGTGTCCGCGTTGGGAGCTGTCGAGATGAGCAAGTCGACAAGGGTCTTGTCAAGAACATCATTCACGACCCTGGCCGCGGCGCCCCCCTGGCAGAGGTCCTCCTCCTCCTCCTCCTCCTCCTCCTCCTCGCTCCCTGCTTTTTCCTCCTCCCCGCTCCCCGCTTCCGCCTCCCTCCTCCCTCGTCAAAGGTCGTCTTCCACGATCAGTACCGCTACAAGCTGAACAAGGAGCTGATGGTGGCCGTGGAGGGTCTGCACACTGGCCAATTCGTCTACTGCGGCGCCAAGGCTCAGCTCGCGGTGGGCAACGTGATGCCGGTGGGCAAGATGCCAGAGGGCACCGTTCTCCTCACTTTTCTTCCCTCCCGCTGTGCTCATCGCATGGCTATCGCTATTAACTGTTAGCTTTCGGTTTCATGCCCTGTATGCTTTATCCAGGTGCCTGCGGCTGGTTCCGCCGACGTGCTAGCACATCTTTCAGTGTGGCGACCCTTCGGGAACAGCTCACCGTCCTCCACCTCCCCGTCGTCCGCCTCCTCCAGCTCGAGCTGCAGCTGCTACTGCGCCTGCCCCTGTCCTAGCTGCTGCTGCTGCCTCTGTTCCTTCTCTTCCTGCCACTTGCTCGCTACCAGTGCTGCTCGATCCTCCTCCTCCTCCTCTTCCTCCTCCTCCTCCTCCTCCTCCTCCTCTTCCTCCTCCTCCTCCTCCTCCTCCTCCTCTTCCTCCTCCTTCCCGTCCTCCTCGTCCTCCTCCTCCTTCTCCTGCTCCTCCTCCTGCTCCTCCTCCTCCTCCTCCCCGTCCGCCTCCTCCGCCTCCGCCTCCTCCTCCTCGTCCTCGTCCTCGTCCTCGTTCTCCTCCTCCCTCCTCCTCCTCCTCCTCCTCGTCCTGCTCCTCCCCCTCCGCCTTCTCCGCCTCTTCCTCGTCCTCCTCCTCCTCACCTGCCTCCTGCTCCTCCTCATTCTCCTGCTCCTCCTCCTCCTCCTCCTCCTCCTCCTCTTCCGCCTCCTCCTCCTCCGCCTCCGCCTCCGCCTCCGCCTGCGGATCATGGCTGCTGCCCCTTGGCTCCAGAGCAGGGGTAGTTTCGAGTCCTCCGATTTTATTCGTTTCGACTTCGATGGCTTCCGATTGCGAGTCGAATCGACTTGGGATTCCGATCTGGGTTCCGATATCTTATTGGAGGCAAACTAGCCTGCCGATTTACGCCGATTCGACTTTTCCTGATTCCGCTGCCGATTTAGGACGATACGATTATAATTTCGATCGATTCGATTCTGGGGTTTCCTGCTAGAGGACCGTCAAACGTGTTTTGTTGTCCAACAAGTTCGAGGAGGCCTTAACGCGTAGCCCAGCCAGCTCTCGGGGAGGGCACGAGGCGGCCACGGGTGGACAACAGGCAAGATTCCAGAAAACACGGCCAGCACGCAAAGTGGCCGTGAGGCGGCCGCGGGCGGCCTTTGGGCGAAACCTTGGGGAACTCATCAAATTACATTCAAAACTTGAGCAAATTACCGGTAGTGCAAGCATAGTTTGGAAAAGTCGAGTGCCAACACGAAGGTCCGACGTTTGTGACCCTTTGGGTTCATGCGCTCGGCCGGTTCAGTAACGGTTGGGCGTTGAAGCTGGCCCATGGGCCTGCGCCCTCGACGCCGCGCTTCGGTGGATACGAGCCCCTCTGGCGACAGCCATGCCAGCGCGCAGGAGGAAAGCAAATGAGCCGAGGCGGAAGGCCGCGGAGGTAGGGTAAGAGCGAGTGGAAGCGCTCCGCGCGACCTGTCGGGACGGGGGCCAGACTGTCGGGCGAGCAGGGTGTCCCTTTCGCCGAGATCGGAGCCAGACGGCGAGGATTGGCAGGAGGTCCGCGACGGGCACGTAGCTACGAAGATCACGCCCGAGGCGGAGCTGATGCCTGTGGTCAGGGAGGCCGACGGTGCGGCCAGGTTCAAGGTTCACGGGCGGCCACGTCATCGCGAACAATCCAGCCACGCGCCACTACTGCACGGACGAGTAGGGCGTGATGTCTTGTTTCGTCCAGGCGTATGAGGACGGTGAGACGCCATACTTCCACAGCCTCAGCTCGATCGTCGCACACTGGCACGTTGCCACGGCCATGGGTGGCGAGTGCCCCACGCGCCCGTGCCAAAACGTGCGCTTCAGGTGCCACGGGGACAAGCAACATTGTGACGCAGAGTGCTGGCCCAGGCCAGGTACTTCCATCCTGACGTCCGAGCGGCTCAACTTAAGAATCGAGCCGAAGAGGGAGTCACCGACGCAGCAGACCAATACCATCGAGCTCGCTATGGAAACTGGGCTCGCAGAGCACGTGGATGGGCCACTGGTCCCGCGCGTCGTTTTTCATTTTTGAGAGGTGTGTCCTGCTACGGCCTGGGTGGTCAGAACACAGGCATGGTATGCGTTGATAGGTGGATCATGATATGTTTCGACTTAGGGGCGGGGCTTCGAAATAGCTTCCGTATTGGCGTCCCAGGTAGATCAGATTTTGGCCCGCAGCGAGTTTTCGAGTTCAACAAGTCCACTGGAATAGTCTGGCGGCAACTCACGCATTCAGAAAGCTCTGCCCGCTATGGGTCTGATTAAAGTTCCGAATCTATTGGTCGCAGCGCGCGGGGCGCCCGGGGACGGTCTTTCGCTTTGTCGCGGGGCCCGACTCATCGCAGAACGTCCGTTTTTGTGGACCCGTAAGCCATTCGTTGCCGCCAGGTACATCGCGTCACAAGGTTGCGTGGGCATGTCCGGCCGAGGGCGCGGGGGCCCTCGCTGGCGAGCATCGGCTGCGCCGAAGAAGCTCCCGCTCGAGATTCTTCTTCGCGCTATTCAGTAGCGCGAATGTTAGGTTCGCGCAAGCGCAGCGGGTCCCCCGCGGTGGGCCTGCAGCAAGCACTTCACCAAACGCGTTTCGTGACCTTGCCCCGTGCTCTTCCTCCTCCTCGGCCTCCCCTCCTCAATGTGTTTAGCTCCTCATCGTCCTTCCGCTTCCCCCCCCTGCCCCTCCTCCCCCCCTCGCTTTCTGCCCCTCCTTGTATCCCCCCCGCCCCTGGTGCTTCTCGCCGCCCTCGCCGTTGCCCCCCCCCGTCCCCAGGTCCTTAGGGCAGAGCTCTTGTTCGCAACCTTTCTCGTGCATCTTCGGCCGCCCATCCTTAGGCCGTCGGGCCTCGGCGAAGCCGCGCATCTCAGTTGTGGCGCTCATTGCCGTGCCTTTCCCTTCTTCTTGTCCCCGTTCTGTTTTGCCATCCCCCCCCCCTTTCCCCCCGGCCCCCCCCCCCCCCTCCCTCCGAGCAGGGCCCTCCATGCCCCAGTGCCCCGCGCGGAGCCCTCCGATTCAGAGGCCCCCTCTCCCCCCCCTGGCACCCGCGGGGGCCGAGCGCGTCGCGCGCTCTCTTGTCGAGGCCGACGCGTCGGGCGCGAGGTCTTGGATTCCTGAGCGCCCCGAAGCGGCGTCGCGCACTTCCCTGCGCTGTGCCGCGGGCGAAGGGCGAAGAGGGCCCGAATGAGAGGCCATCCGCGGGCGCGAATTTGGACTCGCGGTCGGCCGAGACGCCCGCCCTGTCGAAATGCGTGGAAGGCGGGGGGGCGGGCGGGAAGAGGGCCCGCGCGGGCCCCAGTGCCGGCGGGCATTTTCGGCGCCGTGTTTCGATCGGGCATGGCGCCTCGGAGAATCGGGTCGCGCGGGGGGGCGGGGTTTGGATTTTGGGTGGGGTGGGGGGGGTGAGGGGTGGCAGGGGCGCGAAACAGGATGGGGCGGACGGCGGCGGGGGGGGCAGGGGGGGGCGGGGCGACGGCGGGCAAGGGCGGGGAGAGACAGGATGCAGTGGTGGACGTGGAGGATGAGGGGCAAGGAGGCGGAGAACGGAGACGCGGGGAAAAAGGGGGGGTGGGGGCGGGGGGGGGGGGCGTGCAGGGGGTGCGAGGGCGAGCGGTTGGGCCTATGCCGCGGCGCGTTGCATTCGGCTTTTCTTGTTGGGCCCTATCCCCCGCCCCCGTTGGTGAGCGCCGTCGTCGGCGTCGCTGGCGCTGGCCAAGCGACGCGCCGTCGCCCGCGCCACTCCGTGACCACTGCGGGCCCAAGAGTCGCCGCAGCGATGCTGGCTGAGGCGGGCTGGGGTTTCATTCTTGAGGGCGACAGCCCCGGCGGCGATGCGGGCTGAGGCGGAGTGGCCCTGGGCCCGTCGCCCGACGGCGCTGGTGTCCGGCCCGACATTCCAGTGGCGCGCCGCGCGCTCGCTGCCCCCCCGGGCCATCTGCCCGGCCGCTGCGAAGACGAGTCGAGAGGTCTTTCCCGGCGGCCAGCGCATCCATTGATTGGGTGTGCTCGTCAGCAGTTTCTGCGCCCGTGCGCTGTCGCCCCGCCCGCAGCCCTGGAAGGTGTTGATGTGGGTGCGGGTCCCCCTCGCCTGGCGCTACTTGCAGGTGTTGATGTGGATGCCGATGCCGTCGCGCTGCCTGCTGGCCCCGAGCGCGTCCGCGCCGCCCCCTTCCCCCCCCCCGACTTCGCCCGGGGCGCCGCCGAGGTCGGGCGTTTGGGGTCGGGCGCGGCTGGGCGCGTGGAGATGCCCGGCTCGCGCGCTCTGAGTCGCGCGGGCACTCGCGCCGAATGCGTTGATGGGGCCGCGGGCAGCGCGCGCAATTCTTTGTTAAAAGAGAAAGTGTCGATATTGTCGTGGCTGGCGGGGTGCCGCGACCGCCTTCATCTCGAAAGGCGTGGCGCTGAGCGACTCGCGTTTGCCGCTGCTTGCGCGTCGTTGTTTGTCCACTGGCGTAGTTCCCGCTCCATGTGCTCATCCATATATCGGGATGTTGTATCGGGTGGTGGGGGGGCTCTTGTCTTCTCTGAGATCCCCGGGCGTGCCAGGCTGACCGGCCAGGTGTAATCCCGGGTCGGGTGGGGCGCCCATGTGCGCCAGGCTGACCGACCGCGAGCGCGCGCCAGTGCGTCCTGCCCCCGCCCCCCCCCTGGATGCCCATGGAGATGGTCAGCCGAGGCAGTCGGCCCCCGTAAGTTGCGCGCGCGAGTGCGAGACGGCGCGCGTCGCCAAGCTCCTCAACGCAGAAAGGAGATTCGCAATGTTGTTCGACATCCTTGGGCACGGTTGCGTTGCTATTGAGGTCCCCGCGGATTGCCGCATTCAATCGATGGCTCGGACGAAGCCTGAGGTGTTGTGCGATCGCTTGGCTGCCAGTTCCCCGACGACGACGGATGCCGCGGCGAAGTTCGGGCGCTCTCAGAGGGCCGTCGCGACCGACGGGGCCAGCTCCATGTCCAGACCTGGGCGAAATTTGTCCAGGGGGCGAGGGGCATCGAATTGCACGATGGAGTTATATTGTGGGATGCGTCGCGCGTCCACTTTCTACAATCGTGTTTTTGGCCAGGCGAGGCGTCGCACCGGCATGGTGGCCCGCGTGTCGAGGGCCCTCAGCGGCGCGGATGCCGCGCGGCAGCCCCGTTCGGCGCTGCGCCGCGTGATCTCGCGCGACCGTGCGCGCCGCGAGAATTCCAGGCCTTCGAGAGTAGACCCCGGGAACAACGCCATGGCGCTGGACGCGTTCCTCGAGCCCTCTTCGGGCGAGCGGCGGCTCCGGCGATCTGTGATCGCTGCGCTGGCCAACGGCTGCTGGTCGAACAAGCTCATCGTGGGGCACTGCTGCCGCGGGGTGGTGCGAGCCCAGGGGTGATGGTAGAGCCTGGCTGGGCAAAAGGAGATCGCCGAGGATTGCGACGGCCTGGGAGACGTTTGGAGCATGGCCATCCTTGCCAAATGCGCTGCCGAGTCGTCAGATGGATTGGCGTTCTTGTTTGCATAGGGGAGTTGCTGCGCGCGGCGTCGCTGGCCAATGGGGGGGCGGCGAGCGTGGAGGCCAGCCGCGCTGCGATCGGGGGGTCTCTGGTGGTTTCGAGCGCGCAGACGCACCCCTTGCATGTCAAGCTCCCCTCGGCCCAGAGGACCTTCCAGCTCTTCCGGAAGAGGGCCCGACGATTGCGGCGTGGCTGGGCCAGACAATGCCGAAGACTTCATTGAAGGTCGGGACCCTGTCGGGCGCCGCCGGTGGCCCCGAGAGGCGCGGCGGTGGCGGCGGAGCTCGAGTCGGGGAGCGCTTTGGGCCGGTCAGGTCGGCCCGATTTGCGCGCCGCAGCCTCGGCGCGCGCCGCCTCGAGTTCAGATGGGAAGGCCGATTGCGGGCGGCGCGGCGCCGCTGCCGCCGGGCCGGGCAGAGCGGGCAGCGCGAGGCCCTTCCGCGACGATCGGCGAACGCAAGGGCGAGGGTCGCAGTGGAGGAGATGGCTGAGCGCAGGGAGGCTTTTTGTGTATATCTTCGTCCGCTGGCCAGAATGAGCTCGCCGTCCCAGCGGGCATCTCCAGCGCCGCGAGTGGCGTTGCCGCGGCCGAGACGTCGGCGAGTGGCATCGTCGAAATGGGTCGCCAGATCCGCCTGGAGTCAATGTGCTGCAGCACGGAGGAGAGGCGTGTCGAGGATGCGACTGTTGCGTGGTGCAGTCGACCGGGTGATGAGTCGGTTGCGTCTATGCTTGGGCAGACGGAGGGATCGGCGGTCAGACTTTGTGAGTTCATTCCGCGCACTTCACCTGCAGGGGGCTCGACGTCGTTCACGTGGGAGCCCCTCGGGGTCGCTGATGGGGTCAAGCGGGCCATGTCAACAGGCGACTCCTTCCGCCAGGTCTGGGCTCGCCGACTTGTTGGCAAACGTGAGCATGCGCGAGACAGTCGGTCGCGTTGAACGTCAGAATGGGCCGACGACGGCCCCGCCATTCTGTCGTGCGTGAGGGCGTGTTTCTGCGTGCGCGCTGCCCCAGGGCTGAGCGCGAGGCATTTCCTGGATAGAGTTGGCATCGCCTTGAAGCGCGCATATCCACGGGGCCCCGCGCGGCAACGGCTCGCGCCCAAGGCGGAATGCGTCATCTTGTTGCTGGGTCAATGGCCGCCCGCGGAGGACGGCGCAATGGACGTGAACTTAGACATATACCGACTCATCGAGGGGTTCCCTTTTTTTGCCACTTCACCGTGGAGGTCTAGTTTTCACGGAATGAGTTCCCGAGCCAAGTTCGGATGTTTCGCGGTGCCATCTCGCGCTCGGGTGAGGGCGGCCTTCCTTTTTTCAAGCTCGTGGCGCGCGATGGGAGGTTTTGACGGGGCGTGCGCTGGTGTGCGTGCGTGCATTCTGTTCTTTGGAAGTGCGACCCTCTGGGGGCTCTTGGCTGCGTCGATGTTGAGCTTGCGTGGCCTGTCTCGGGCGCCGGCGCCCGGCGCGCCAGCCTGTCGCCTTGTCCGGTGTCCTCGGCGGGCGAAGGTCAAGAGACCGCGGGGGAGTCATGCGGAGAAGGGCGTGGTGGAGTCTGGCTCTGATGGCGGGGCTGATGGAGATGACGGAGGCAAAGATGCTGATCCCGAGGTGGCGACGGGCAGTCGCAGCCTGGTTCAGACGGCGCTTGGCGCGTCGGTCCCCTCCACGCCCGCAGCGGCGTTAAGGCGGGCGAGGAGGTCGAGTGTTCCCCCGCGAAGTCCAGCGACGTGAACGACATGCATGGTGATGTTCTGTTGGGCGTCGAGCACGCAGGCAAGGTTGTCGACGCCCCGTCCGAGAGACCATCGTCGCGGGCTTCCAGCGCTGATCTTGATGGTCAGCTCCTCCTGGGCCCGCGCGATGGCGAGGTTGGCGATCTCGACGGGGGCGGCGATCGTGGCCGTAGGGGCGGACCCTCAGATGCTGCCGTTCCCTCAGCTCCAGATCCAGATGTGGCCGCTCCCCCAGCCCCAGGTCCGTCGCCGCCGTTGCCGCCGCCGCCAGGACCCCCGCCCCGGGCCAATTGTCGGTGTTGCTGGCGAGTGCGACGAGGGAGTCGCCATCGCGGGCGGC